CCATCTTATCAGTAGACATGTGCACCAGCAAAAAAAAAAAAATTGTTGGTTTCGTTTGATTTTGATTCGGATTTTGCTTTATTTTGTTTTTCGGAATTCGGGTCTGAAAGTCAATTCGTTTCGGAATTCGGACGAAATTCGTTAGCGGAAATCCGTACGAACTTCCGTTTATAATTCGTTCGTTCGTTGCAGCAAAGTGACATTTAAGAGGGAAAAAACGTTTTTTTGTTCTCAAATGTCACTTTGCTGCAACGAAAGTTCGTCCAAAAACGAAAGTTCGTCCAAAAAAACGAATCGGAAATTCGGATTCGTTTGCATTCATTATATCTGTAATTCGGAATTCGGATACATCCGAATCTCCGAAATTTCGACCGAAATACTTATACTTATTAGTGGTGATATTCACAATCACACTTGAGCATGCGTCAATCTATTGAACTTCATGGTGAAACTGCCCTGTAAAATTGTTTTTACATATAAAAAAACTTTATTCCAAAATAAATTCTAAATTAAGGAGAATTTCCAAAAATGGCTGGAAATTGCATCCCTACTTCTCATGCATCCACGTGCAAAAAGAAAAATGTAGTCTTTTTAATTTTTTAACTATACCTGTGAAGCTAATCAGTGTAATCATAATGTGTAAAATAATCATAGGTGTGGTAATGTTTGAAGCAGAATTCTGACTTATTCAAGCCCCCCAAACCCCACCGTCCTTGTAGCCCCGTCCCCACATTAAATTTGGTTTTTTTTTAAATCCCCTTTCACATACCTTTATTTGTGCAGTCTTAAAGTGACACTAAACTCAGGAGTTAAACCTTAAAAATGCAAGTACCTTAATATTAACAAAAATGTATCTTATTTGTGTATCACGCGGCTGTAGAGCCTCAAATCATCTCTGAATTGGTGTTGACACTGTCCTTCCTTCTGGACGTTTACTACTTTTGTTCCCCATGGTCCCTGTGTGTGTTGTACAATAGTCGCCACTCCAAGTTCACTCCCGTGATGGTCTACAATCTCAATGCAAACTAGTAAACAAAACATGAGATTGTAGTCTTGCACAGGAGCGAGCTTAGGTGGTGGCTACTTTACCACACACATGGTCCCTGACCATGGGGAACAAAAGTAGTCACCCTCCAGAAGGAAGGACAGTGTCAGCATGAATTCAGAAATGATTTGAGGATCTACAGCCGAGTGATGAACAAATAAGCTACAATTTTGTTATTAGCTGCGGTACTTGAATGCATTTTTAAGGTTTATCTCCTGAGTTTAATGTCACTTTAATGCTAAATTTATATAATAGATCTCTTTATACGTGCAATCTTCATCCTGTTCCATTACAGGTACCTCTTCTTGGGCTCTAGGTGCGGCAGTGGGTGGTCTTTTCTCCTGGACTCAATGCTGCTTACTTGATAAGTGTTTATTACACCTAATGTTTGATTATTATGTACTTCTAAGTACAGCTAAAGCATATCTAAAAAAAAATTAAAAAAAATTAACATGTTGCAGAAGGTGCCTGCATTATTTTTTTTTCTGGGATTTCCCCCCCCTTATTCTGTTCTGGTAATCCTGCAAATACTTTATAAATAAACAAATCACTGAAGTCTAAGGTACAAGAATTCAATAATTTCTTAACTCAGTAGGTACTACTAATCAAAACGGTTCGATAAGGAAAAGGTTTTATACACTGCCACCTAGGAAATATATAACATTTATCCATTAAAGTCAACATACAAATGCTAAAAATTCTGTAAACAACACACTTTCTATCCCAGAGTGGCTGCAGTCACTCCATCGCTGTATCTATGATCCAAACATGTTTGCCTTTGTTTGTCTTCATTACATTGGAGGTGATGAGATGAGTAGTTTACACATGAAAAACTGTTTTCACTTTTTTGCTCATCTCACAGGAAGTGACAAGGTCACTTATTTATTGGCAAGATCAATAGGCGTTTTCTGTACTTGCTGAAAACGTTCTTAGCCTGAAAAAAAAGGAAGCTAAGATGGCCACCACATCTAAGGACTGTTAAGCTTCAATATATACAATTTTGTTCTTGGGTTTAGTTATAGTTTAAAGTATAAAACATCCCTATTAATTCCTTATTTCTAGGGATGTTGAGATACCAAGTACCGTACTCGGTACAGATACTTTTCCAGATCCAAGACTAGACTAGAGAAAAACTCAAAGGTTAGGAGGCAGCTGTCATTTGTAAGGAGCATTGGCTACGGTTCTCCTGGGATTTGTACATGTTTTGTTTTATTTTTTGATTTGTTATATACAGTATATATTAGGGTTGCACCGCTACCATTTTTTCCAGACCAAGTACAAGTACCAATACTTGTCCAAGTACTCACAGATACAAATACTGATACATTTTTGTGTATTGTCATGTGACAGCTTTTCTAAAACAATACAGACTAATGATTTCAGGACAGTGGTGGAGCGCCAGGGCCCTGTCACAGCTGCCACCACTGCAACCCTGGTAGTTCTCGGGAAAATGCCAGCACTGGTATCTGAACATCCCTAATTATTTTTACACCACTCGAAGGGATTGCTATGAGGTTCACATCAATGAAACAGCAGCCATTTTTACTGCTGGCATGGAAAATTCCAGTTCTCAGCCAACTAAACACTATAATGTCTTATTTTTAGATGTTTCTTAATTCACTGCCAATACTTAGCAGTAAATAACACAGGTAATAAAATCAGAGATATGTCATTTCTAAATGTAAAATGGGGTTGTGAAAAACCTTACAGTGTTCCCTGGTTTAATTTGCATATTAATATATCAATAAAGTTTTATGTCAGAGAATGGATCTTGAAATAACTGATAAATTTGATGGGATCCAGTGAATAAAATGCGCTGAATAAATTCATATAGATAAATGTGCAAAAATCAAGTTGGACTTTTTAGCTTAAAAATGGATGAATAGGATGCCAGGTATTAAAGGAAATATTTATAAGTCATTTAACATGGACTTCCAAAGTTTGAACATAAGGTTGGTGGTAAGACATTTGAATACAATGCCCTAACTTAGTAGGATTTAATATTATGTAATACATGTGTTAGGGTCTAATATATACAGGAATATTGTTACTAGCCAATGTATTGACAGTTTACTGCTTACTGCTGGCAATAATATCCTCTGCCAATGTAGCGTTGATGTTGATGGGTGTTCTAGTCACAATGCTGAGGTTTTCAGCATTCAGGGCAGATTGTACTGATTGAGGGTGTCAGAGGGTTCCTCACAAGTTTGTAATTTGTGGGTGGTGGCAGCTTAGGTGGTAGCATTAGTGTGGGTTGTGATGTCTTTAATTAGGGGAACTCTAGGAGTTCTCAAGATAGTCTGCCAGCATGCTGGTTGAGTTACGAGAACAAGCGGCAGACTTATACATTGCTCATTATTCCAGTGTCCTATGTCCCTGTACTTCCTTGGTACCTATTCTGACTCTGATTGTTGTATTAGCGATTTATCCTTTGCTGAGACCTCTATATCTGGCCTGTATAAGCAGATATAATCACTGCAGACAGTCCTTATCAGATCGCTGAAGTCACAAAATACCTTTTAGATGCTTGAAATGTAAAGTATTCCGCAATAAAGCAGAATGCTTTATCGTTTGCAGCAGGTTACAGCAGACAACAGGGTACAGCAGATGAATGAATAGAATGCATTTGAAGGTCAATGATGATAATGTTTCCAAGCTAGCATGCACATGTGTTTCTGTCATAAGCAGCCATGACACTCGACTAGTTCTTGAACAAGAAGGGGGAAATACATCATAGATGGGAGGGAATTCAGAAGAAAATGCAGTGCAATAACCAAAATGACCACAAGATGTCAGTATAACAATCAGCCATATAACACCAATGAGCAAATGGCCCAAGGAAAATAAACTATATAAATTCTAATTTCACATTAATATGAATATTAACTATGACTATGAATGGTGTGATATTTTACAGCTGTGTAACAGCACAGTACTCCTCAGTCCTGGGACCCCTATATTTATAGTTTTGTCCTCCTCCTCCAGGGCTTTTATAGTTTCACTACCTGAGTCTGGACTCTGGCCTAAATCTACCAGACCGCTTACAGTATATCCACTTCTGACTTTCTGTCAGCCTCTGTACAATTATTGAAATGATCTTCTCCCAGACATCCAGTACTCTCCCCAGCTACCTCTTCAGTAAAACATGGCTTTGACCCTACTGGCCCTTTACCTTTAAGTGTACCTGAGGCCCCCTATGATTATTTCTGACTCAGAACCTTCACAGGGTACTATATTAGAGACTGTATTTTAATGGGTGATTGATAAATCTGACATGCTCCATATTGTTTTCAATCTCAATTTCCATAGTTTGCTCTGCTATGCATCTAGAACAGTGGTTTCCATGGTGGGACTTTTAGGAGTATGGGGAAAAAATATAATAATGGCAGAAAAAGTGACATCAGTGCATCTGCACCAGCAAAGTAAATGGAGCAGTAGGGAGAGTGGGGAGAGAGGGAAAGAAAAAGATAGAAAGGTGGAAAAAGTCTGATGGCAAAACTCAACACAGGACGGGGCAGGTTTACTACTGCTTCAACATTCCATTCATGTCATATCTTATCAGGTAGAGCCTTGCACTATATGGCTGGTAAATCTAAAAAAAGACTATACAATCCAACTGTAATGTGTGTGGCCATTGCTTTGCAAGGTAAAACAGGGCTGATAATATTTCCACCCTGAATTCGATGTATACAACATATATACAAGCTTAGTAACCTATACTTAGCTGTATTTACCTGCTATTATAAATGACTGATACTACATATCAGATGTAAGGGTCAATAAATGACATTCATATTTTGCACTATGAATTGTGTGAACATCCTGCATTTTCTAATGTGATTTTATCCTGAAGATAAAATATTCTCCAAAACAACAAATATTGAAGCCATAGCCAGCAGCCTGGATCTTGGTTTTGAAATCTAATTATTTTTTTTTCTGTCTTTTCCCTCCCCAGCAATTGGAAGGACTCTCATTCCTCGATACTTTAGCACAGTGTTTGAAGGGGGTGTCACTGATCTCTATTACATTCTCAAGCACTCCAAAGAATCCTACCACAACTCATCCATCACCGTGGACTGTGATCAATGTACCATGGTCACTCAGCATGGGAAACCCATGTTCACCAAGGTAATAACAAAGCTGATGTTTTTTTTCCACGTGTTTAAGAGTGATTGATTTTTCTCCTTCCTGCAATAATATAACAGTGCTGCTCTTATCCAATGCACAGGTTTTCATTTTTCGACTGAGTGGCAAGCGTGTTATTTAAAGTATGAATAGTATTTTAGTTTTCTATACAGTCAACATATACTGTAGATATAATTTATTATGTGAATTTGCCTTAGTATGACCATATAAACAGTGGAAGCATCAGGGGTAGAATTGCTACAATGAAGCCTACAAAGCAGTTATGGAGTCTGGTATTAGAAAAGCCTTATGGGGAATTATTCTCATAAGTTCTCACTCCAGATACCTTCTTGCTGGTTTGTTGAATGCCTGCAGTATAGTGTGTACTAGTAGTAGTGGCACTGTCTCTTTTAGCTTCACTGATAAGGGCTTATGCACATGGTCGGATGAACTGGTACAACATAAATACCAGCGTATTTCCCACTCCACCTTCCTTATGGAGCCACAGGTCCTCCTATAGAAGTCAATGCCTACACATATAAATAAGCAAGGTATAGCATTATCATACATTGCTTATTTATATGAGCACACACTTACTGCGAAATTGACATAGATGCATATTTTATTACAAAGATTTTTATATATGCAGAAATATGTGCCTACAGGTTTTAGGGCGATCATGGAGTGGCGCTGTCCAGGCACTGTGGCAAAAGTAGGGGTGGGAAAATGTACTTGAGTGTGGCTTATTCTTGTCACCTTCTGTGAGGTGGCTACTAGACATTTAGTGATTGCCAGGGCTGTAGTCAGCCTGGTTTGATTATAGTGGCATTTATCTGGTTAATTCCAGGTGTCTTGCATTGCCTGTACCCCCTTTGGCGGAGTGGGACTCTGCTATATTGTGGGACAGCCAATGTGAGGCACTGTAAGTGCATGTACAGTACAGCAGCCAATCACTGGGTTTCTCTCAACCAGTGGTGAATGCTGGGATAGGGTACATATACTGGAGGGATTTGCCATGTGCTCTGACTAGTCGGATGCGCCATGGATTAGAGCTGGATGCTGTCCTGCCATCCCCCAGGCTAGATCTGAGGCCCGGGGGTGGGCAGAGGCTGGAGTGTGGAAAGAGTTTCCCTGGGGCCTCCAGTATAGAGGTGGCCTGTGCTGTTGGTCTGAGGAGGAGAACCAGAGAATCTGATGGCTACTGGAGGTGCCTGGAACATAGGGGACCTCTGGAGCATAGCTGGTGTCTCTCCTGCTGAGGATCTATATACATCCCTGCTCATCTGATACTTCAATTGCTATTTGCTGTACTCAAAGTGGATCTACACTGAGATGCTAAAAAGGTCTGGTGATTCTGGAGTCTATCTCTCTTATACCCTGGATGTCTAGGATCCCTATACCCTCTCTCCCCAGTGTGAAGAAGTTTGATAAATGTTATTCAGCTTTGCATTACTGGAGTGGACCTCAGCTTTGTGGGCACTAGAAGAGGGTTGTTAAATGCTAATGGGACGGCTGAAGATCATACCTCTAAACAGACCAGTGATGATGACCCGGGTTATTCCAGCGGCTCCTTGGGGGGTGGGCGCTACATTGTAAACACGCAAAGCAAAAGTGTCCCTGTATACAGATTAACCCCTTCACGACTAACGACGTACAGTGTACGTCGATAGCATCAGGGCTGTTTAAACAGACTCCTGGCGGCAAAACCTCAGTTTGAACTTGTAAAGCCCTTGTCGGCTTTACAATAGAAGCGATTCTGGCGACTCAGCTGTCGCCAGATCGCTTCTATGGTCTAGTGAAGGGCTCCCCCGCCGTGCTTCCAGGGCTCCTTTGCCCCTCCTACGGGCCTGGGACCGGCTTCTCTGGTGTCGGCGGGGAGCTGGGAAGGAGATGGACGAACATCTGTTCGTCGATCCCCTCCCCGTTCTATGTGACCTGGATTGCATCACTTCCGGTCCCATAGCTGTCAGTGCTGTGCTCCTGAAACCCAGCTATAAGCACTTCAATAGCTTATTTGGAGGGTCTTTTGGACCCCCAGCATCACCTTAACCTCTTGCCGTCCGCCTGTAGTAAAAAAACGGACGGACGGCACTGCATAAATAAATCAAAAAAAAAATTGGGGTACTGAAGTTTGTCGCCGTTTCACGGGTGCACACAATTTTTAACCTGGGTATTTTGGGTATCTATTTACTCGTTGTAACCTCATCTTTTATATTTTATTTTTTAAAATGGGTATTGTATCGTGTTTTGGGGAATTTAAGTACATTTTCCCCTAAATGTTGGGGGTTTGATAAAGAGTTGCGCTAATATCGTGCAACATAAAAATTTGCAACTGCCACCATTTTATTCTATACGGTCTTGGATTTCAGAAAATATATAATGTTTGGGGGTTTTAAGTAATATCCAGGCCTAAAATGTAGAATATAACATGGGTGCAAAAAATGAAAAAAAAAGGCCTCAGTCATAAAGGGGTTAAGAACAGATATTGAAAATGACACCCTCTGATTCGCATAAAGAATCAGAGGAGTGCTACTGTACCGTGGCCTTATATACAGAATAAGTATAGATACAGAGAATTACACTCAGTGCACAGAACCAGAAAAGTTCTACTGTACATTGTCTTCATATACAGAACAAGGACAGATATTGAGATTATGCTCAGCATACAGGACAAGTTATTATTGTTGCTTATTAATCTGTATGTATAGGCAGTGCACAGTAGGGCAGCGCCCATTCATACAGAGTAATAACCAGCCATACACTTCTTGAACTGTGAAATTTGAGTGGCCCTGTTGGTGTCGCTCCATTCAGCAAAAGTCGATATTTTGATCAATTTTTGCCAAAGGAGTTGGTCTGAAAATTCTCATCTAAACAGTGACTACAGCCAATCAGCTTTAATCACTGTTTGGGTATTTTCACAAAAGCACACCCATTGCTGTCAGAAAACAATAGCCTGGCAAGGGGGATTCCCCCAACCATGCCGTTTTGTAGGGATGAGGGAATCAAGCGTATGTATGTCCTCATTCAAGTAATAGGGTTGCTTGTAATGTGTGGCAAGCCTTGTGCCCAGCATATAGAACAAGAGAAGTGGTATTACTTAGTTTGTGATATAAATATAAAAAACAGTTGAGTGCTGCACATTTTATTTTTTTGTTTGCCATGAAAGTTCATTTTTCAGAACAAGCTTTTGGAGAGGCATACTCTCTTTATAAGGTCAAAACAGTACTCTATCTAATGAAGATAGTAGATCTCTTGAAAGCTTGTCCTGAAAAATGAACCCTTAGTTGAAACAATTCAAGTATCACTTCCAGTATTCAATGATTTCTTTGTTGCAAAATTATACTAATACAAAGGTAACACAGACAAGAGTCGATAGAACAGCAAAAAAAGGAAAATCGTATCTTCCAGAAATTATTTTAGGCAATATGGATGTGTGGGTTTGAGCAGTGTCATTTTTCTTCTAGAAAACAAAGGATACCGAGCACAAAACATTAATTTAATTTTTCAAGCATTTTATTTCTTTCCGGATACACATAGTACACTGTATCTATCTTAGACAGGCACAAAAGATAGAGCGTGTGCAATGTTGAAAAGTAGAGCTTGATTTTAAAAGCCTGTTTAAAGTAGTATTAAGCTCTCAAACTTTTTTTCAATCATGAATCCAGATGCAACAAATACACATGGCCCAGCAGGGCATTGGTTACTGGGGATGATAAGTCCCTTGGTGGCAGTATATACAACATTTGTGACAGGTCCTCTTTGGAGAAACATCAGGTACCTATGTATGGGCATGGACAGCATATATCTGGCCATTATAGCTTGACCAAAGTTCTCCTTTAAAGTGACACTAAACTCAGGAGTTAAATCTTGGAAATACATTCAAGCAACTTAACTAACAACATACTGTAAATGTATCTTATGTGTGTATCACTCGGCTGTAGATCCTCAAATCATCTTGGAATTCATGCTGACACTGTCCTTCCTTCTGGAGGGGGGCTACTTTTGTTTCCCATGGTTCCTGTGTGTATTGTAAAGTAGTCGCCACTCCAAGCTCAATCCCGCGATGGACTACAATTTCGTGTTTAGTTTACAAATTTATATTGACATTGTAGTCCATCACAGAGTGAGTTTGGAGCGGTGGCTACTTTCCAACACACACAGGGACCATGGGGAACAAAAGTAGCCACCTCTTACAGCCCCCCCCGCCCCCCCCCAAACACTAAGTGGGAAGTATATATGGGTGGTAAGGAGGGAGAAGGTTCCTTGCAATTTCCTTTTGTGTACACTATATCAGAGTAATATAACCCCATGCCGTCCACCCATCGTAAAAATGCAGGCGGACGGCAGATGCTTCCCGGTGGGTGGATGCACATTTACGTGATTTTGTTTTCTGCAAGCAGAATCCTGTTGGGAAGGTAAACAGCAGTTACCAGCTGCTGCATACCTTGGACGATCGCTATATGTTAGCTATTTACCTGACATGAACGTGTCTTTTATATTTTACCAAAAAACTGAGTAATAATAAATGTTTTATAACCTAACGTTTTTTTCCCCAACATTTTTGGTACTTTTTTCATTATGTAGTAAAAAATAAACCCCCCAGTGGGGATTAAATACCACCAAAAGAAAGCTCTATGTGTCCACAAAAAATGGTATAAAATTAATTTCAGTACAGCGTTGCGTGACAGATAAATGTCAGTCAAGGTACCGCAGCGCCGAATACTGAAAAATGGCCTGGCCAGGAAGGGGGTTTAACACCCCGGTCAGCAAGTGGATAAAAGAGGGGCAGCATACTGTATGTGGGTAAAATGTATGAATAATATATCACTCTCTTAGATAGAATTTTTGTATTGTCTTTACATTTTCTTTTCAAGCCTACATGTTCCCTTGTTGCCAATCTTGTTGCCATCTATCCTGTTGGCCATAAGGGGATCCACCCGTAGGCTTTTTATTCTAAAATAATGTATGTGAGTATATAAATGGACATATACATTTTGCATGTG